CTGGCTGTGCTCCCGGGGCAAGGGAAGGGCTCTGCATGGCAGTGACTGCATCTGCTGCTGGGGTTGCAGCCAAGTGCTGGGAAGGGGAGAGGAATTTGGTTATGGAAGGGGCAGGAGGTGGGGAAGTCTGGACCCTGTTCCCAGCAGCTCTTCACAGTGTCCTCTCTTTCCTACACAACGTGCACGTGTGTGTGTGTGTGTGTGTGTGATGTTGCTGTACTAGTCTGACAGCTCTGGAGGTGTTCCTCAGCCTTCCTCCACCAAACATACCTCCTGACATGACAAAGAGCATGTTCCTGGACACCTGCATTGCTGAGGTGTTGTTTCCACTGTTTTTTTTTTCATAACTGCCCTCTAGCTCCCTCACAGATGGGGACATCTGAAAACCTAAATTTAATGACAGGTGAGTTAATGAATGCGTGCATGAACTTAACAGTCACCTTAAGATATCTTTAAATGATCATTATTATGCATCACAGCTTGATCCACCAACAATGGGGGCTAATCCTTGTCTTACAATTATGCTGATTTGTAATTAGTCAATTAGAACATCTCTGCTGAATGAAAGGAGTAGCACTGGCTTTTAAGATACGTGTAGTCTAATGATAAAAGCAGAACAAAAAGCTTTGATACTGAGCCCAGTTCTCTTTTTTTGAGTCTTCTGGGAACTTTTCAAAGCCAGCTGTCTGTGAAATGTGGAAAATCAGATGTTCAGCCTGTTGTCTTCCAGAGTGGGGTAACTGCAGGACCCTGAGGGGGGTCGGTGGCTGAAGTTCTTCCAGGTACAGCAGGAGCCATTGCCAAGCAGGTACCTCAGGGAAATGTCAGGGAGCTTGTCCAGCCCAGGGAAAACAATGTCACACCCCACTTCTCTTCCTCACTGTGTGCTGTACTATTAGCAGAAGCCCTGAGATCATGGAGTCTACATATCGTATTGGAATGCCACTGGCAGATGCCTTCAGAGACCTCCTGAACAACACCATGAAGGGATTTGGCTTTTCTACCCTGTGTCACTTTGAGGGGGAGATGGTAACTCTGCCCACATTAGAGTTATCATTGCCCTGGCTAAATTATTGATGGCTGTTTTCTGCCTATATCTTCTTTCATTTCCACTAACCCTTTAATGCAGGGGTGTGTTGCCCTCTGAGACCTGTGACCTTCTGGTGCCTTTGTAGACTGTCATCCTTCACTTTGCTGGGCCGGTGTATTCAAACTGGGGGGCCAGAGCCATGTGAGGGGTGCCAGGTCAGTGCTGCCAGCGAGGACAACTCCCTCCTTCCATCCTGGAGAGCTGCTGGCAGCACGGGCTGCTCCCCCTCCCCGGGGGCTGCTCCCCCTAAAAAAGGGGGGGGCCCCCCCGCCTTGGGCCCCCGCAGCCAGTGTCGGGCAGAAGGGTGAGGCCTGTGGCAAGCGCTCCGTGGCCGCTCTGGTGGTCACAGGGCTTCTCAGCCGGAGCGGGAAGGACACAACAGAGAAGCTGCCGGCGAACGAGGGCGCGGGGTCACGGCAGCGAAATGGCTCCATCCAGGCGGGCGGG